CTCTAAGTACATAAAAGTAACAAAAAGTTGTCACTTTTTGTCTGTTTGTATTGAACTGCAGCTCATTAAAGTTTTCAAAATTTGTTCTAGTATGTGTTATTTAACATTATTGCATTATTTGAGGTACAAGAACTCGAAAATTGTTTAAAATCAGTCAAAAACACATGCAAAAATAGATTATTTGGGTGAAAAACTATTACCGTTTAAAAATTTCAGGTGATCATCTATTTTATTTGAAAAGTTATGATCTGTTAAAAATGAAAAAAATCTTCTGTAAGCTCCAGATACTCAAATTTTTCTGATTTAGATCAATATTAATTTAATTATAACTTATGAATGGTTTGGTCAATCAAGCTGAAATTTTCAGGGTTGCGTTTTTTTCATAAAAACTGAGTGGTCAAAATTTGAAGGTGGTACCCTGTAGCACTTTTGAAAATCTAGGTGATTTATATGGAATAACCCAGCTGTATTACCTTGTTCTCAATCAGATAATCAGAATTTTAGGCATTGATCGCACCCACCAACCCCATCTACAGTAAGGGCTTGTATTATTTTGTGAATGTTTTAATGACGATGGTCATAATTGTCAAGAGAAGAAAAATAGGAAGATTAATTGCATAATTTTAAGCAAAAAATTTATAACAAAATAGAAGAATTTTTTTTTCTTCTGTAAAATATTTTGTAAGATTTTTAGAATTTTATAACATAAAATTAAATTGAAGTTTAGGTTAAGTTAAATAAGTTTCCCAATTTCTATTTTTTCTGCGTGAAAGGACTGATTGCAATGTCTCCAATTTAAATGTAGTTAAAATTCGAATTACATAACACTTGCCGGAGCAAAATACTTGTTTTAAAACTTTATCAATGCTATGTTAAATAAATCAGTTTAGTTACTCTCATTAAAACACTTTTCAAATATTCTTTCTCAATACATTCATTCCAATAAATTTTGTATTGTGAAATTGCATTTAATCCTTTTTCTCTTGAATTCATTTGAGAATTAAATTCTATATAAAAAATTCATTTCAATTTCGAAACAAATGAGAAACGTTTTTATTTGATTTAAAAGTAACACACATCTTAGAATAAAAATGCCATGTCCAGTTTTTGAAAGCATGATTCAGGGTCCCAAGAGAGAAAAAAAGCTGTAGGAAAAGTTGTAAAGTTCAGTGCCCAGGTCAGTTTATGTTAGCTGCCCCAAAATTTGGGGCAGTGAACAAAAAACTGACCTGGCACCACAAAGTCCATGTGTGGGCCTGTTTATTTATTACTATTACTATTATTTATTAAATTAAATTAAAAACGTTTCTGTTGTTTAGAATTTCCGTAATCAAGCTGTTTATTTAACTCCCAGGGCAGACGACACAGGTTCCAAAGTGGAGGGGCAGAGTTGTCAATTTCTAAAAAAAGTCCTCTATATCTAGAATTTTCTTTAAAAAAAAAATAAAAGGTTTTTTAGAAAAATTAATTCATTAATAACATGTTTCAGTTTTATTAGCAAAAAGTATTGCGCTGGGCGATTTTATTCATCACATGCACTGATATATATATATATATATATATATATATATATATATATATATATATATATATATATATATATATATATTATATATATATATATATATATATATATATATATATATATATATATATATATATATATATATATATATATATATATATATATATATATATATATATATATATATATATATATATATATATATATATATATATATATCAGGCTTTCCCAGGAAAGGCACGCCTTGTTTGTCCACGCATAGAATAAATTTTTCTGACTAACTGACCATGTTTTATTAGTATGCGTTTCAAGAATTCGCGCCAAAACAAAGCTAAACGAAAATACAGAAAAAATGCAAGCAATCTTAAACTAAATAAAAGAAATCTGTTTGTGCTTTCAAATTTAAAAATTAATGTATATTATTAAAAAAAAAATTTACCTATATTTTGTTTTATTTTTTTTTTGTTTTGTTTTTTAGGGCGGTAGTTATTTTAGCTATGAAAAATCAAATCAACAAAAAAAATCAAATCAATAAGAAAAATCAAATCAAAAAGAAAAGGATTATTGTTTAATGAAAATAAAAGGACCTTTTAATGTAAAATTTGTTTATGACTATTATCAGTCAGTAATACTTTAAAATTCATGATAGAACTTTAATTAATTTTTAAATGTTTCGTAAACACATTTAAATGTTTAAATGTATTGATACGCAAGAAAACGCGAAAACGCTTTATGATTTATTGTCGTCTTTTCCTTGACTTGTATCAAATTTCATAGCTGAAAATAGCAACCCTAAAAAAAGAAAACAAAAACAGTATAAAAATTTTGAAAAAAATGTTCAGAACTTTTTTTTTTTTGTTACAAGATTTTTTTTTTTTTTGAATTTTTTTTTTTATTATCAAAATATTTTTCTTACATCCAATTTCAATTTTATACCTCATTTAGACTTCGTTTCCTTTTTTTAATATTATTTTTTATTCTCTGTGGATAAGTTCCGCTTTCCCACGAAATATTGCCGCAGTCACGTTTTCTGAAAAATTTATTCTATGCATGGACAAACATGCGACTGCACGCCTTTCCTGGGAAAGCCTGATATATATATATATATATATATATATATATATATATATATATATATTATATATATATATATATATATATGTATATATATAGATAGATAGATAGATAGGTAGATAAAATGCTCCAATTTAAAATAAACATAAAACGCTCCAATTTAAAATCTTTTTACTGGTAAAATTTCTAAACTATGTCGAAGAAAAATCTTTTTAATAAATTTAATTTAAGTTACTTTTTTATGTTCATTAAACTGTTTTGATTATTCACAAATCAATAATTCTATTACATTCAATTACGAAAGTGCTAATATACAAATTGCTTAATGCACTTAAAACTGAGTATAAATGCATTGCCGGATAAATGCTAATGAAGCTTGTAGGAAAAATTATTTTAGAGAATTTGTTTAGTAAATTTTATATAATAATTTATAAAAAGATGATTTTTTTTTTAAATTATTTTTTCCATTATCATTAATTTTCTAGATAGGCGATAGAATAAACGTCAGTTAAAAAAAAGATTAACTAGTTTATGAGTAGTTGATGAAGATTTTTTTTAAAGCGAAAATGTTAAAAAAAATTGTTAATAGCTTTTTTTGAAGCCAATAAAAAAATAGTTGTAAAATAGTATGAAATTGTAAATATATGTTAATGGTGGAAATTAAGCAATCACGAATTGCGATGGGCCATAGTCATTTATCAATCTTAAAAGTTTATTATTTAAAGAAATCGCAATCGCTAATTTTTATATTTCTGGGCGAAAGTTTTAACAAATAAAGGTTTAATCATGTTTTAAAATGATGTTGATACAAACTAATCTAGTCAGACGATTTTTTTCTATTTTATTGTTCATCAGGTTGGGCAAAACTAGTTTCAAGACTAACGATTATAATTTTCGGACCATGTGTATTACCAAGTAATACTTGCTTTTAAGTTTGTTTATTTGTATACACTTTTGAAGTATTAACAAGTTTTTATTTACCTCATTTTTATTTTTTTACACTTTGGTTACAACAAATATTTTTTGTCCTGGATTAACTTATGTTTTATACAAATAATATTTAAAACATAATAGTCAATATCAGAAAAAGTTCTTATGACAAAGGTTTTATTTATGAGTATAAAATAAGTTCACAAGTATTTTATTGATAACTTGTAAACTCGATCAGTTTATTACAATGTAATAAACTGATGGAGTTTATTACATTGTAATAAACTCAATCTGTTTAATAGTTGTTTAATCTCCTCCTGAATTTTTACTCGATTTTTTTAATAGTTATTTAATAGTTATAAGAATCATTTTTAATTTTATTAAAATGTGTTACATTAAAATACGCATTTTGGGTAGTTTAGCTTTTAACAATGTAAATCTGAATGACTTTTAACAATGTAAATATGAATATTATAAATATGTGAAGTTACATTAACTTATGTTACACTTTTCCATTACGCATTAAAATCTAATAATGAGACCTGAATATAGTGATCCTAAGAATATAGTGATCATAAAGAAAAATAGCTATTTACATTTACTTAAATTGTTTAATAGTATGTATATATATATATATATATATATATATATATATATATATATATATATATATATATATATATATATATATATATATATATATATATATAATATATATATATATATGTATATATATATAATATATATATATATATATATATATATAATATATATATATATATATATATATATATATATATATATATATAATATATTAGTATATATTATATATATGTATATATAATAATAAGTTTCAGGTCATTAAACAACAAAATGATTTAATAGTTTTCATTTCAAGTGTTAAAATTACTTAAATATAAAATATAAAATAAATTATCATAAAATAGTGGCAGACAAAACCAAACAGACAACTATTTCATTTATCTAGAAATTAGTATCTGAATCATTCACAAAGAAAAATGTAAAACTTTTTGCTTTTTTCTGAGAAAAATTATCTTTTCATATTATTTTCAATCATCCAAAAAAAATTGTAGTTTTTAACAAAAATGATATTCCATCAATTAGCTCTTTTTAATTGCAATTTTTATTGTTAAAAAAAGACCCACTGGAAAAAAGTAAAGCTTTTAATTAGAAATCATTATCTAAATCCCCAGGTACTTTTTCTAAGTCAGTGTTTTAGTTAAAAGTAAAGATTAATTTTTTTCTAAGAAAATAGTAAATCTTTACTTTCTTCTTAGTGGGTTGTTAAAAAACTATTGTTTGTTTTTGGCAATATATATATATATATATATATATATATATATATATATATATATATATATATATATATATATATATATATATATATATATAATTTATCACATATATATTTTATTATTTATATACATATATATATATATATATATTTTAGGTCTTGTTACAAAGTTACTGCAGCTATTACAAGATATTAGCTTACCCAACGAACTAAAAAAACTTGAATCTGCTCGAGCTCTTTCTGATGGCAAACATAAGAAGCAAATAATTGAACTAATAGAGGAACAACAGCTTTTGCTTGGTGACTGTTTGTTTATTGTTGCAAAACAGAACACTTTGCCTGTAGATGATTGTGCAAATCTTCTAAACTATCTTAAAATAGCCAAACCAAATACACCTGATGGTAGTCTAGATTTTGTTACAGCTCGTGTGCTTTTAGCCCTTTTGTCAAGCTTCAATTGTGACATTATGGATCTTGCAGTTGAAAATATTGGCAATGAGCAATGTGAGAGTTATGTTTACATAAATCAAATGGTTATAATAACTATAAATTTGTTTTAAAATAAAAATTAATATCAATAAAAAATTATCACCTTGAAAATAAAAAAATATATTTTAAATTAATTAATTTTAATCATTTTTACTTTATAAAAGTGTTTTTTCTTCTCAGATGAGGATCTTCCCTACTTTAAAGATAAGTTGTTTTTTCAATCTTTTAACCAAACGCTTTGTCGTCCTGATATTCAATATTGGCAAACACCTGGAATCAAGTCAACAATAATTCTATGTTGGGCAATATTTTTGCGCGCTTGTTCTGCTCATCCGCATTTTGCAAGTTTTGCAGATATTTTTGAAGAAGATGAGGTTCTTTTAGATTTGGGAATTGAAGGGGATGGTTTCAATTTTATTAGAAAATCCGTAATACAATCAAGAAATTTTCACGAAGAGGTATTAATTGTTCTTAATTCTTTAGATATTGCTTGATTTTTCTATTTTTTATTTTTTCTTGGTATTTACTTGTTAGGAATACTTTTTAAAAACAGTTCACTCATTTGTCACTTCATTCATTGTGAAATTTCCACTTAAGGTAAATTTTTTTAATATTATAAAATATATGTTATGTATATTATGAAAATGTATATTTAAATATGAATAAAAGTCAAAGCTTTGATTTTTATTTAAATGATTTGATTTTTATTTATATCACCCTTCGGAATGTGTCGGCATTCGGCAATGCCAACCTAACTGCCCACCTAAAAGTGTTTGAGGTCAGCAAAAAGTTGCTGACCTTGTTTCTATTTTTCTATTTCTATTTTTCTATTCTATGGTAAGACTTTTGTATCAAATTTTTTTTGCCGACCTGATGTCGACCTCTGAAAGATTGAGGTTGACAAATTATTGCAGACCTCATTTTTCTTAATTATGAGGGTTGATATATATGTGTGTGTGTGTGTATATATATATATATATATATATATATATATATATATATATATATATATATATATATATATATATATATATATATATATTCATATCCTGTAAGTTCAGGGGTTCCTCAAGGTTCTATCCTTAGCCCTATACTCTTTTTAATTTACATTAATGATCTTCCAGATATTCTTACATCTAAGGTGACATTGTTCGCTGACGATTCTACCATCTATTTTTGTCTTGGTAAGAAGCCAACACTCTGATTGCTTGGAAGGGGCATTTGGGGTTGAAAAAGATCTCACTTGTGCTACAGCATGGGGCTCACAATGGCTGGTGAACTTTAGTTAAGATAAAACCTAATTTTTATAAGCCAATCGTTATCACAATAATTTAGATCTTCCTTTATTTATGAACAATAATGTACTTGATGATTCATCTACCTTTCGTTTACTAGGATTAACTCTTCCGATCTTTTTTGGAAATCATATATCAAATCAATTGCAAAAGTAGCATGTGCAAAGGTTGCATCTCTTTTTTGTGCTAAACACTTTCTTACTCTGGATTCTATTCTTTATCTTTATAAATCTTAAATCCGTCCTTGTATGGAATACTGTTACCATATCTGGGGAGGATCTTCCAATGATGCCCTTTCTCTTTTAGGCAAGGCGCATAAATGTATTGTAAACATAGTTGGACCTGCTCTTTAAACCTACCTTCAACTTTTTTTATCACATCACGTGATAATGGTTAAATGAAAAGGGAAGCAACATGCAATGTTGCTTCTCTTTTTTGCAAATACTATAATGGCACTACTCTAAAGAGCTAGCATCTCTAGTACCATTTACTAAAATTCATTCTTGTGTTACATGTCCTTCAATTAAGCCTCATTCTTTTTCTGTCACTGTTCTTAAGTGCTCCAAAAATTCTTATTCATCTAGTTTTTTTCCTCAAACATCAGTTCTTTGGAATTTGTTTCTTGCATCTTGCTTTCCTGATTCATATAATTTTCAATCTTTTAATCGTCTGTCAATCGTTATCTTGCTCTATAAACTTCATCTTTTCTCTTCCAGTAACTTTCAAATATAATAGTGGTTGCTTGCATCCTTTTTGGAATTGAAGATGTTGAAAAAATATATATATATACACACCCGCACAACTCTTGGAAATAGGAAAAATGAGGTAGGCAATAATTTACTGACCTCAATCTGTTTAAAGTTAGTATCAGGTCAGCAAAAAAAATTTGATACAAAGGTCTTAAGGCCATAAAACATAGAAAGGATGAAAGACATTTTGTGTTGACCTCAAACACATTAGGTCTGTAGTCAGGTTGGCATTGCCGAATATGAACCTAATTTTGAGGGCTGTTTATACATATATATATATATATATATATATATATATATATATATATATATATATATATATATATATATATATATATATATATATATATATATATGTATGTATGTATATATGGGCAATTCTGCGAGAAAAAGGGGGAGAAAAAAAGTTAGGAAAACATATGCTAACCTCAATAATTTCTTTTTTTAACTATTTAAGAATACTTTTAAACTAAAAAATGATTAAAAAAATCATTTTATTATACCATAGCATTGTTTTAAAGTTGTAAGGGTTATATAAACAATTTTCGACGTTTTTATATAGTCCTGTTGTGAAGCGTTGAAAAAGGTTACTGTGCTGCGTTTTTATGTAACTATTACTTTAAAATTTAACTTAAAGACAATATTAAACATTATGTAGAATATTATTTATAAAAAAGCACTCCAACTATGTATAAAAAAGAATATGTTTATCAAATTAATACGTTACGACCGTCACGAAAAAAAGTCAAGAAATTTTTTCTAGGCTTCCTATCAGACTTTATAAAGCTAAAAATATAGTAAAAGTAAAGATACTGATAAGTTTTATTATTGTTTTAATTTTTTTAAAAAAAAGAGCTTCAGATGAGTATTAAGATGTAGCAAAGTACGTTACGACCATCGCGCTATGTTTTTTTCCATAAAGGCTTCTTGACATCTATATACAAGGTTTCAGCGTGAACGATTTTATTATTGAAACCAGTTAAAAATCATTTGCAATTTGTTTACTCATAATATTGCTAAGCTTGTTAAAGTTTTTAGAATAATTTAAAATTAAATATTATTTCTTTTTTAAAATATAAATCTTTTATTTAAAATAATGGATGTAAATAATATACGTTGAGAAATAAAAACTTTTAACATAAAAAAAATTCTTTTTCGTTAAAACGTTTTTTTATAGTTTGCATTGCAACGTTTTTGTTTATTTGATTTCGCATGTTTTTTAACTATAAATTTAGCGGTTGTTTTTTTTTAATCATAACAGAACATTAATCTCAAAAGTTATATTTAATAGCACTTTTTAAATGCCTAAATCAGATTTGAAAAGATCAAAGAAAACTGAAAGATCAAAAGCTTATAGAGCAAGAAATGGAAAAGCATTGTTGGAAAAAAAAAAAAGGAAGTTATTAAAGAAGACAGTTATCAAAGAACACAAAAGAAATAAAAGCAAGCTAAAAAATCAAGTGAAAGTTGGCAACCAAAGCTTGAAAACAATTTTGAAATCAATATTTTTACTTTGAAAGAATTATTTTATAAACTTATGTTGGGAAGAGGGAGCATTAACCATTTAAACTTTAGTAAAGTATCAAAGTATAAATAAATATATCAGCCTGCCTTTAGTTACCGATTTTAAATTTAACTAACCTAGTATCAAAATACCATAATTGAGAATTTTGATAATGTTATTAAGTTTATACTTTTACATAGTTGACATGTTTTTTATGATTATTCATTTTTTTTTTTTGATTGGGTTGTTTTATTTATTGTTTTTCAAAATTAGAAAGCATAAAAATGTTTATAAAGCATTTCTACGTTTTTTTTTTTTTTTTTTGTGACAGTCAAGTCATTTCCATTTTTGGTTCATTTTTAATAGCTTAAATAACATCAAATGTTATGACCGCCACTCGCAGAATTGCCCATATATATATTTATATATACAATATATATGTACAGTGTTGATAAACGGCGTAAATCTTTTTGCCTCCACTTTTCTTCCGCAGCAGACGGCTGCTGCTTCCCGATCAATTTTTAGCGGCAAAATGTTCTTTTTTCTGCCTCCAGTGGCTTCCACTTTTCTATTAGCGGCTGCAGCCAGAGTTCTTTTTTGGAAGCAAAATGTTTTGGAGGCTAACGCCAATAGAGTGGCGGAAGCCAATGGTGGCCGCCTCCAGAAGAAATTTTGGAGGCAAAACCTTTTAGAGGTTGCTTTTAATGCCTTCTGCCTCCTAACTGGCTGCGGCCGTTAGGAGGCAGAAAGTTATAGTTTTTTGAAAAAAAATTATAACTCTGTCAGAGCGGTTGTGTATCTACTATTATCGAATAAATTAGTAATTTTTATTTCAAAACAAATATTAAAAATTAAAAATTTTGTTTACATGCCTTAAGCAAAAAAAAAAAAAGTTTTTGACAAATAATTAAGGTTTTTGATCGTTTGATATTTTGTCGCCTTTACATCACGCAAAAACTTTAATTTTTTGACCATAGCATTAAATTATTAATTCTAGTCATTATATATTGTAAAAATATTTGAAAAACACAACATCTTTTAACATTATTAAAAATTAATAAAGTTAATTTATTTAACATTTATTTATTTATTACAACAAGTTTATTTATTACAACAAGT